CGTACCTATAACTACAGGTTAGTCGACGGTCGACCGAAAAAAAAAAAAAATGTTAAAATCGAATTCAGCGGGGTTATCAAAATTACGACGATTATTATTATCATTATTATTATTATTACGGAATACCACGCGAGGTGAACCTACGTTTAAACTCCGTGTTATACAACAATGTGATGGTAGTGTATAGGTAATAACGATAATAATAGTAATACTGTGCAATAGAGTGACTTGGCCCAAATATTATTGCTTGGCAACACCTCCCTCCCCCCCCCCAAAAAAACTGTTGTAGTAGTTATAATACTATTACTATATTATTGTTGTTATCGATTTTCTTTAAAAATCAGTTTTTAATCTAATATAGATTTCAATAATAATGAACAACAAGTTGTCCGAGAACTAGCTATGCCTAATGTAACACATACTGTGTTTATCGGCTTGCAACTCTCGAAACGCAACAATAATGATATTTAAATTGATACGAAAATTTGAGTCGCAAGACGTGCGCGTGTTGCATTACTTTCAGACGCGATCCCCGACGGTTTTGGAACGAGAAATTTCGGCTATCCTGTAAACTATACAGCACAGCAGCTGAGAGTTTATAATAATAAATAATGACATTACATCGCAGACCATTATTTCACAACCGGTCTTCAATACCATACAATATTATTATTATATCACACCTAATTAATAATGATAATATGTCATTAATGCAATTTGGTGAAAGACTGAGAGCAATAACTAATGAGCGTGTTTCGGGTAATTATTGTATAGGTACCTACTGTATATTATGAATGTTATGTCACACGCTCACTAAGACTTCAGACAGCTGATGTACACTGCCCAGTGATCCTTTTAAAGGATTTCCGTTAATCACGGTTTTGGAAACTTTTTTTTTTTTTTCGTTTAATTATTTAAAATCATTGCACGACTATCATTTTCGAAAAAGTTAAATACTTTATCCTGTACCGTTATCGGTTTTTAATTTTTTTAATTTTTTGATTGACACCATCAGAAATGTTCACTTTCATATTATTCCGAAGTAGAATATTTTTCTGAAAATCTATTAAAGTATAGACGTGTACTTATATAAAAATCAAATTTCCAGCGAGTATACACGTTTTAGTTAATTATTTATAAGTATTTAAATTTTCGACGGGCGGAGTATAGGTCACTGGGCCAACACTTGTTTACGCATCGTATTTGAAAAAAAACATATCACCTTGTACAATAATATGTTTTTATTATTTTATTTTGACGTCTTGTCGTCACTATATCGTCTCTTGTGTTCAATATTTTTTGTAGGTAGGTTACAGCTGTTGGCGCGTGTGTTATAATAACAAAAAAAATATCGTCGTTATGTGAATATAAACCGTAATTCGTTGTTGGCGTGCTGACATTGCCGAGTCGCGCACGCTGTGAAAATAAAATTCAAATTACGTATAATCACATTTTAGGTTCATTTTCGAAACGTCTATAATATTGTGTGAATATGAACGCGGACAGGTTTTAGTTAAATATAACAAATCATTATACGACGCTCGGCGTTTAGGTCTAATTCGATTTCTCAACTAACTTTGTGGTCGCGATATTGCAATTTGCTCGCATATTATTATGTTTACACAACGTCGTCAGTCGAACCGTTATTAAATAAAACGGTTCTAGACGTTTCTAAATTATTATTTTCTAAAATTGCAGTTCACACTTATCATTATCAGAATATTTACTCTGATCTTGGTCACAAATATAAAAAAATTAAATATTAAAAAATTATATCGCCCTCAATCACTGCCGCTGTTCTATAAAATACCGGTAATTGATATTAATTCTTCAGCAGACCATCCAATCGATTCGTCTATCCCTCGTGAAAAAATCAATTGATTTTCTCTAGAGAAATTTGGCAAAACTATCAATCTCAAGCCGTCAGTTCATAATAATTGAATATTTACACCGGCTAAAAGATGCATTGACAATTATTTATGTTATCTAGCAAAATAATCAATAAATATAATTATAATATAGATACAACTTTTTAATGTACATTGTATATTATATTCCTGTGACGATAAACCGTCTACGAACGTTGAAAATAATACAATGAAAGTAAATAGTCAATAATACACTTTTATCTATTTTGTAGAGTAATCGTATTTTTATTTCGCTTTTTGTTTCCCGTGGACATTAGTAATAGATAGATATATTTTCGCCACTATGAGGATACTATGATCTATTTGTCGTATTTCATAATAATTTATCATTTCAAATTATCTAGCATTTTACTTATTTATATATTTAACTATTATTTTTTTTTTTTTAATGAAGGCCGCGGCAACATGAGCAATTGGGAGTACATTACAAACTTATATATAATAATAAAAATGTTTGTTCATTTACGATATTGAGTGATTTTTATAGAGATTTACCGGATATTAGATTGGAGTTTGGCGGAGGTTATGAATTTGATGATGTTGAAGGTTGACTGAGACGAGTTTGTAGGATTTTGACTATATTGATTCGGAATGGTTTAAGCTTCTCTTGGTGTCGATATTATGTACTCTGCATTTTGTGGGTATGTGTTTCACAGTGACTTTTTTTATTGTTGGAAGGAGAAAGACGGCCAGCCCGAGAGAGCATTGTCCGGAAGAGAGTTACAAAGCTATGTTTTAACTTTTTAAGTTCTTGATGTTAGGTCGTATACAACGTCAATAATTCCGCTAATCTCTGTGCATGTTATGTTCATTTTGTTAACTAGGTATATAACATTTTCAATGAACAAAGTTACGTTGCCTAAATTATTAACTGTACATTTTTTTCTCCGAAAAAAATTCTTTAAACCTTATCATGGCATAATTTGTAATTACTTTATATTATACGGGTTCTATGGTTTGGCTAATCAGTAACTGTATATATAGGTTTGACATCGAGTTCCGGATTATTTGAATTCGGCGGCGTATCGTTTACATTTCGTAAGACGTGCCATCTTTAAAAGATTAAAAAGCAACAATATACCTTTCAGACATTTCGAAAAACAGTGACTACCCGACAATGGGGTCGCGATCAAACACAAATCCGACTTCATTGTGTAGGTATACTGCGTAGAACGACAGTACACAAACAAGAGATGGTCTTTTTTTCACCGGATAAACTTTATTGTTACACACAAGACACGTCGTCGCAGCAAAGAGTAATCATCAAGACGACACCGCGAATTTCAGGTTTTTCATAATATTATGTGTCCCTCCGATATAATATTTTTCTTTGTTAGGACTCGAGCCTCGTAAGCACACTGTATACTTGCAGTATTCGATTGTCGTCCGGCAAAGCCGATTGTCGATCAACTGAAATTTAAAAAAAAAAACACCAACGACGCCCCCTCCCCGCGGACGAATCGCTAGCCGCGATGATTATTATAAATTATGGCGTGAATTAATATACAATATATTATGCGCGTGTGTTTTGGAGGAGGGGGTGGGGGGACGTAGGAAAAATAAACATTAGATGGCGATCCGTGCACTATATACACAATACAGAACAGATCGGTATTCGATATTCGATGAAAAAAAAAAAAGGTCACCAGTATTTTATATTTTTATTCTTGTGATATATTGTGTACCTATACATCATCAGAGAAAACAAAATAATTAATCATTTAATATTATCATCGTTTTCGTTTGCAAATACGCATATCATATATTATATTTTTAATCTAATCGTTTTAAAATATTATTCCTACTCGGCAAAAAAAAATATGAGCGAGCAATACGCATTATAATATATTAATATATATTTCTGCAAAAATACCCCATATAGTGCATTTTGTGTGCACATACATATATGATTTGTTTTTCATTTTTCTCGTTCTTCTCGTTTTTCTCGCTTTCAACGAGCACTTAACCAATATGTCCTATCGACAACTATTCTAGGTGAAGTGATTTTCGTGTTATTGAATAATAATAAAAATCGATAGTTCAGCAAACACACACTGTTTTGTTCAATACCTAATAAATGCGAAGTCAATAAAACGTTTAGGTATTAATATATGTAAATATTAAATTAAAACTTTGCGTGTGCGTTTAACTGTGACTCTATAATATGGTCCGTATAATATAATAGCTGTAATATTTTCGGTAGAACAAAACTGCGGTGAAAATATTCATTATAATATATTAATGTGTCATCGTCCATTCATTTCGAACATTTTTCGTTTTTATTGTTTTTATATTTTCAGCAATAGATATAATTTTCACTAAAACAATTTGAAATTTAATAAAACACATTTCGTATACATTATCATTTGCGTCTAATGTACAATCGTTGCACATACAACTTTTTTTGTTCAGCAACCATTGGTACATAATCATCAATTTTATGGACAATGTGCTACGATTTTTAAGGTTATTTAACGGAATAACAATGGAAATAAAAACTGAAGGATTAAACGACATTTTAATATATTATTATTGTTGCACATTATTTTACCGGGAAAACCTTTTTGTACTTAATTCGTCGGTCGTGACTGGTATAGGATGGTCGTAGATCAATTTCTATTTGTTGCAAAGAAGATGACTTTATCTAGGGTTTGTCGGGGGTCTTTCTTTTTACGTGTTTCACATTGCATATAATATATTATGTTTTAGAAAAATAAAAACGATCACATTTTCAATTCAAAATAAAAAAATTTACATATAAGTAAGATAAAAAAAAGGCTCTCTCACAAAACGTACATGGATAAAGTTATATTATTTCTGACAACAGCAACAACAACAACAAAAAAGTTGTGTTCTACGATCTACGACTGTTTAACGAGACGTCTCGGCTGATGATGGAGTAAGGAAACGTGATTTTTTGACAACCAAGTCAAAATCGGTATACCTACTTACTGCTGCAGTTGCGACCTATATTAAGCTAAACCTAACAAAATAATGAAATGTTAATAATAATAATTAGCCAGTAAAATGTATTGAATTACTAGTAATCACTAATTATTCTTCTTTTTTTAGCTTGGATCTTGGGGTCATGGATGTGTAAGATCGTGCCCTATGTCCAAGGTGTTTCAGTGGCAGCGTCCGTGTACAGTTTGATCGCCGTTTCAGTGGACAGGTAGGTGTACACAATTAATACAAAAAAAATGAACGCTAAACAATTCGCGTTTGACCGATATGATCGATGCATGTTTTTGTTGTTATTGTGGTATTTCAAGTGAACGTTAATTGACTGACTGTTTTTTAAGTGGTACAAATTACAACGAATTAATCCATTCAGCAATAAATTCATCAGTTAAAATATATTTTAAAAATAAAAAGATCACAGCAACTGTGCAGTATCAGTGTGTCGCTTTACTATTATTATGATCGCTATACAAAAAGCACATTTGATACGTTTTCATAAACTGTTTATTGTAAACAGTATTGCACCTATATGTACCTACATTGTCAAATAATATAATAATTAAATTTGTAACAAGTGCAGTATAGCACATTGCATTTTTCTGTTCAGCCTATTTTTCAAAAATAAATAATAGAGTATCGCGATTCCTGACGAATAAACCAAACAATTTCCTCTAAATTTTTCGCAAATATTTGTGAATTATTATTTATCGACTTCATTCATGTTGCGAAAAAAAATCAAATCATAGATAAAGTTTTACTCTGTTTTATTATTATTTATATTTATTCTGTTTTGGTTCATTCAATAATGAAATTTGTCCTTATTTGGGTTTTAAATTCAAATGACGCTTGTATACGGTTGCATAAGTTTTCATAAGGGTCCATAAGTAACATAAAATATACGCAGTCGTATACAGAATGCCGCAGCGCCGTTGTTTTAATATAAATTTACAAGTGGCCTGCAATAATTGATGAAAAACGAGCAATACGTTTATTGTGATTAGAGGAGCAGATTGTATGATATTGTATAGTGAACGATTCATAGAAGAAAATAAACATTACATCCAATAAAAAAATATGTTAATTCATCGTAGTACACTTTTGATCGTGAGGCGTTGTAGATAGTCTACTAAACATACACAATAACAATATTGTTTGAGTGCTCGGTTATAATATAATATTTATACATGGGATATAATATCTAATAAAACCATCACTCTGTAGATTGAATGTCGTTTCTGGGGTTTTCATTACAAACAAAAAAATAAAATAAAATGTTTGGGGCCATAATATTATACTAATACGTATTTCTTTTGTATATCATAACACAGAATCAACCAAATTGTGTTTACCAGAATTAACATACCTTTTAATATTATTAGTATCTAATTTCCCGTGCGAAATGTTCAATACAACAACGATTTATTTTATTTCACTTTGATGGACGTACATGAATTGGATCAGACATATTGTGAAATTGAGGTTAGGTTAACCTAGATTTTAGCGATATGACAGCCTTCAGTATAATAGACAATATTATGTGGGTAGGTATTATTGTATTAGAGTTAAATACTGTAGAAATAAAAGATTAATTTTACTGTACGATAATCAACCATCTGATTATTTTATTTGATTACGAGAAGTTATTAAAACAAATGCCTTAATATATTTTTTTTAGTTTCATATTATGTATTTTTTAACGTGACTGAAACAGAATACAATTTTTTTCCTCCACAGTTGGTGTGTTCTTGAGTTGTATAGTATATTTTGTTTTATGTACCACTGCTTAAACTTTAAAAAGACAATAGTTCGCTCAACAATGGTATTAAAATTGAAATGAAACGTATGAACTTTACCAATAATCAAGTTTAATCACATTTATATGTCACTACTTTGATTAAAAAGAAGGAGGATAAAATAAACATTTTATAATACAAATATAGTATTATAATAGTACTCTTTGTATTATATGAAAAATATGCATTATGTATATTATTTAAAATGATATACAATATGTTAATACAATATTTTGTATTAAATTCGCTTGATGTATTTATTTTCTTGTTCTGGTATATTATAGATAAATTATTTCACTACTTAATTGTTAATAATCACAGCAGTTAATTGAGAATTCAGATATATTTGACTTGGAAAATCCGTTATTACAACAATCTGTACTAAATATATACAATACATTTAGAACAGAATAGTTTCGTACCATACAATTACATGCGATCGATAAAATATTCTCCAAGAAAGTTCACAACAGTGCAAAGGCCTCCTATTCTATATACAATTTTCAAATACACTCGAGTGCAAGGGAAATATCTGACAACAATCTAATCGAATCTTAAGTACTGTTGTCCAATGGTCCATCACAGTCGGAGATAAAATACGCTAAGTCCTCCTCCCCTTAGTGTTTCTGAAGCCCCCTAAAAATGACTAATTTTCTAGTCTTTTTACATTCTTCATATTATATTTTGTGCTACTTAAAGTGTGTCAAGTCGAGATTATAACTTTTATTTTCTTTTTAAATCATAATTATTAATTAACATTTATACGGTTAATTATTTAGCAGATATTTTCTTTGAACATTTTGATGTTTCAAAATCAAAATTCGATAGTATAGTTTTTGAGTTATTTAACTTTTTGTACTAATATCTCCATGGGTGTGGACGATTTGGGGGCTACTATAGTGTCTAGTCAAATCTAGTAATTAATATTAGTCCATAAACATTTATAATTTGTAAAAATGGTCGAAGTAGAATAAATACTGGATCTAATACTATATAATATATTTTATGGATTTGTAAGACCATTTTTAAGGTTTTTTATCCTTAGTATACATTTAAAGACCAGAAAACTATATTAGATCTATCATTAATAAAACTGATCCAATTAATAAGTTATATTAAACAATTGGAATTCTCGTTTGAAAAACATAAAATTGTATCATCACAGGACCTGTATCACCGTGTATCACCTACTCTTTAAGTAATAAAAAAAATATATCTTAAAAATTTGAATTTAAAATTTAAAAATAGAGTGATTTACCCTGTATATAATATATATTGTTATATTATATCTGTGAATTAGGTATACTTTCTGTTCTTTTCGTTATTAACGAAGAATATTATACCACGCTAGGAAACGATAAGGCAAGGGTGATCGAACAATACTTGGATAGAAATAAATCACAGGCGAAACACACAATGTTATGACAATCATTATAATTAAATTAATAAATTTATTGTTTTTATGACCAGAGTCACCGAAATAACATTGTCGGTTAGTCTTTTGAAACAATTTCACTAAACATTATGTGACGAAGAAAACATGTGCACTACACCCGTGGGTGTGAGCGATGATAAATTACGTTAACCAGAGTCAAACATCAGTAATGCACGACTGAGTGGACGGGCAATACCGGATGGACTGCTACCGGGTGGACGGCCACCGGATGTACGGACACTGCCGGGTGGACGGCGACCGGATGGACGGCGGGTACAGCTACCACGCGGGTCACCACGGGCGAAGGATGAGATTGGACGACGGTGGACGAGTGCACCACGGAAGCCGGATGGTGTACGACAGCCGGAATGACCGGTACGACGGGCACGTACGGTGCTGCGCTGATGGCGGCAACCAAGCACAGGACTAATGCGATCTGGAAAAAAATTAATCAATAAATACTGTTAATCGATTAAATCATTGTTGTTACAATTGAATATGCATGGGAACAGTTCTGTTGGATTGCAGCTGCAGCAAAACTACAAAAATAAAACCTCTAGCTGCAAGCTTGCGAATTACCCGGAAAGCATAATATTATTACTATATATCGTCACAACCAATCGTCGACGCCCGACATTTTACGCGATATTATCCCTTCGCCATAAAGGTCCTTTTTGCTTTTACCGAGATGGCGAGATGATGGCGTGACCTCATTTTCCATAGTAATTAATATACTTACACGAAGGTGCCTACTTAATTTAATATAAAATGAAGAATAGAAGTCTATATAGGCATCGATATTAACCGTCCAACCAAAGGACGAAATAGTGCTCAAAAAAGTACACCAACTAATACCATTCCTAATGAAAAAAGGTTCTGGTGCAACGGTGCAGCAAACTCATAATATATAGCACGGTCTTGCGCCTCCGAGTCACCCATATAATTGAATAGTATATTGATGATAATATTTTACGCAAAAAGTTCGAGCGGTCAAAGTCGTAACGGAAAAAAAAATAGTATAAGAACTAAAAAAAAACTACGTAAAATCATAAGTCTCCATACGCGTGATCACCGCTAGTAACTTGGCTTGTTGAGATCCGTTGATTAAACAGTTTATAAACGTCGGTTTAAACTTTTAAAGTTGTAATGTTTTGGGATTCGCGGGTTTTCTGTAAACATTTTTCAGGGCATTAAGAGTAGATACCTACTACAAAAGAAGCATAATACAGTCATTACCGTTATCGATTGAAAAAAAGGACACATGTGCCACAGTACAAACAGGTCAAAATTGTACATTCCCAACGGGTTTCGACACAAATTTTGAAAGAAACGTCTATTAGATAAATTTGACGGAAAACCGTCGACATAATATCCAGTTACGAACACGCAATTTAAGAGCGTTCAATACTCTTGGCATTTTGTACCTTTACTGTTCGATTGAATTTCGGTTTCGCCATATTATGGTAACGACTTGTTTTCAAAAAGAATTAGCTAAAAACCAAACAATATTTTGATTGCTAAGGATAAGGCGCAGAAAGTGTTAAAATACGTATAATGGAGGAATATAATAGTATTATACACCTTATATTCGCACGCCTTCTCCTGAGACCCATCACCCGAAATCATATATGGCTTGGGCGGGGTCAAAGTCTGCGGTGCTTGTAATGCAATTTAAAATACTTTTACTCGTAATGGTTTTCGAGGAAAGGACTGAACGAAAATTACTTTACAGTGGCCGGTATTGAGCGATTACCACTCGCACATACATATACACAACTCCTCGTTCGGACGTTTTACCAGGCGAGGTAAAACGTGTTATCTGATAGAGACACGCCTAAAATTCACTCGTCGTCGAGTTGTTTCCAAAGGCATATTTAACAATACAATGCCCCATTCTGGTATTATACGATGTGTGCGCCACATATTACTATCGAGTGTAAAAAAAAAAACCACAACACGAGTTTTTATAGTCATCGTCGAGGT